ATAGCTTGATCGAGTTTGACACGGAAACCTTTAGAGCAGGGCTGTGTTAACATTTGAGAAGAACTTTCTTGGCATCTGAATCTTTTTTATGTTAAAGTTTTACAACCTGTTGGAATTTCCTTCACAAAATTAAAATAGGGTGATTGGCTCTGGACTTGTTTCTTCACTTCATTCTTAGTGGACAGTCTGTAGCACATGTGATTGATTCCAAATGGATTGGAGGGTGAAAAAGGAAGGACAGCAGGTGGGATCCAGGTCCTAGATGACAGGAGAGAAGAGGTAGGAGAAGAAAAGATATGGGGTAGACAGGGGACGTTGGGAGATGATCAGATACTACTGGTGCTCTTAGCAAAATTGTTCTGGGGGAAAAAAAGGTTAGAAAAGGTCTTTGTGTCTACATTATAAGATAGATTAGGTAATTTATGATCTGAATGTCTGCAAAGGAGGAAGACTTAGTACTTCTATTTTTCTGATACAAATTATACAGGTGTGGATGCAAATCTATATAGGGAAAATGTAAAAAAAAATTCACACATATGTGGATATGCCATTGTGTGTGATGCGTATGTGTACTTTAAGTAAATGATTCCCCGTATAAAGGAACCGTGATATAATATTATTGATTAGCAGCACGAACCGTTCTTCCTGCCAAGTCTACCCCAAGGACAAACTCGAGCTTATTATTTTAAATTATGGGGAAATTAAGCAGTGCAGAGACATAAGAAAAGATGGTGGAAATGGGAAGCCTCACAGCAGATGACTGACTGTTCTGGGGACATTGGATCCTCACTTGTTAGCCTTTATTTAGCTCATGAGGAAAGAAAGCATAAAAGTAACCCATCCAAGGCATGGAACCGTCCTTGCCCAACTTCATGGGCAACTAACTAATCCAAAAGGAACACAGCCATTACTTATACAGCCATAATGTAGATGCAACATGGCATATAAATCAGTAACTCTTGTATCGCAAAACAGACAAATAGATTAATGCATGTTGCAAAGGATGGGTGAAGAGATCGATTAGGTTCCTGATTCAGACCATGAACTTTCTCTCAGTATACTGCATTTAACTTTTAAATAAGGTTTAGGAGAACCTGTAACATTTTGCTCACTGACAGAGCTATATTTTACTAAGGGCAGAAATTGGCTAGTCTATAAAAATTAAATTATGCCCCTTTCACTGTATCTAGTCAAGAGGAAAAACTCTAATTACAAGATTGCACTGTCAAACAAATGCAAATTCACATTCTTTATATCCTGGTTTAAAAATTCATACGGGGGGAGCTTCTATTCTGAAATGAGAATCAATATTTGAAATATTTTTCCGAGTGCAGTGATAAGCAAGGATAAAAGGAATGTCATTATCACGGATGCTGGTAAGCAGACGCTAACTCATTAAGAGCAGAACTTGGGAGAACAAGTCATTCCTTATGCAAACATTTAAATATCAATTAGTAAGGACAATGGAAGAAGGCTTTCCTCTCCACAGCCCGGTGCCTTATTACTCCAGAAATGACCAGAGGGAAAAAGAGCAGTGGGAAATAATCTCTGCACCTAATAGGAATGCCACCCTGGGGGATAGGTAAAGGTTAATTTTAAATGTACTTCCCAAATGAAAATCAAATGTACCTGCCTCAAAATTCCTAAGAGCTGAGTTTGCAGACTTAATCCAGAAAGGACTAACTACAGGCCCGAGCATATTGCATCGCCGGTATTTTTTTTGGAAAGAGAATGCCTTTCATCACTGCTTAATGTCAAACTTGGTTGGTTCATTAAAATCTCTTCGTCTGTTAAAACCGTGCTTTTCCTAGACCTATGAAAAATGCCAGTCCATATAGCACGAGGCTTTAAAAATCCTACTGGTTGGTTCTCATATTAATATGCATTTTGTGGCCTGTCCAGTTAACCCATTCACTAAGCCTGTGGGAATATGGTAGACATGAAGACCATCTAAACCTTTAGCACTTTGCCTGAATTCTCTTCTCAGGCCAACCTTGGTGGCAGGTTTTCCTATATAAGGTGCTGGCTGAGGAAAGCAGGTGCCTTTTGATAATAGTTAGCTGGTGGACCAGGTGTGTAAATTTTGGGGCCCTGGTTTCCATCCTCTAGAACCCAAAAAAAGTCGGTCCAGACTTAAGGCATCCTAGAGTCACTTGAGGAACTTTAAAGGGACCCATGCCTGGGTATTTGACAATCTTAGGGAACTGGCTTGCTTCTTCAAGGGTGAGGGGAGGCAAGTGGATCTCAACAAAACTTCCAGGACGATTCTGATCTGCACTCTTAACTGAGTTACTGGGCCCTTTCAGCTCTAATGCACTAGGATTCTGAGAACAGTTGGTTACTAATCCAATAAGCATAATTCTGACTTTGGTTCCTAACAGTAGCACGTAACGGATGTGACTTTCTTTCCCCAGAGTGGCAAAACGAACCTGCAGAATTAAATGCTGGTGGGTTGGGGCCTGGGGGAACAAGGGCTGAAAAGAGGACGACCAGATTTCCTGACCTGCTCTCCACAGAGCGCCCAGGAAAGGACCTGCTGCATAGGAATGCGATGACTGCACCACCTGTGGTCCCCGCACAGTCAGATCCTAGTTTGGCTCTCCATCCCCGCCAGCGCCAGCAAGGTTAAGCGTCACTTACATTGACTAGTCTCACCACTGCATGGAGATGAAAATGGGAAAGCCTTGGAAGTATCACTCCCCCTCCCTTCACATTGCTCTTTTGGCAGAGGAACGTGCATTTGACTGACTTCTACTGAATTCAGGCTTAGAATGTGCATCCCTCCCCTTCTAACAGGATTTTCCTTGGAGTCCCTCAACTGTTTCCATTTTTCAGACTTCACTATTGGTATTGCTTCAGTATTTCACTCTCGGTCCACCCTCTGGCCTCTGACACATGGCTGGAGGAGCCTAGTTTGGAGAGAAGGTGCCCATCTTGATCAATGAGGAGCAACTTTAGACCTCTAGCCCATAAAGACGGGTGCTAAAGGTTCCCGTAGATAAGGTCGGCATTACAATGTCTGCTCTGCCTTTTTTTTTTTCTTTACGCAAAGCTATTTGGAGGAGAGAATAAAGCAAGAGGAAAAATGGCACTTTGAAAATGCGAGTGTGTGGTATTATTGCACATGTACTTCTAGAGAGGAAGAAATAGCGCTCTGAAAAAAGGATGCCTCATTTGGCTGTAGTTTGGTTCCTATCTTTTTCTTTGTCTCAACAATATCCCAGCTGATAAACAGGATATCCGGATAAGCAGTGGCCTAGAGGAGCCCAAGGAATTTCCTAATGTGTCCAGGGCTTAGCCCTATTTTTTCTTTTTTTTTTTTTTAAAAGATTTTATTTATTTATTTGACAGAGAGAGATCACAAGTAGACAGAGAGGCAGGCAGAGAGAGAGAGAGAGAGGGAAGCAGGCCCCCTGCTGAGCAGAGAGCCCGATGCGGGACTCGATCCCAGGACCCTGAGATCATGACCTGAGCCGAAGGCAGCGGCCCAACCCACTGAGCCACCCAGGCGCCCCAGCCCTATTTTTTCCTGGCTCTCAACTACTGCCTTTAAGAAAGCTTAAGAAAGACATCCTTGAAAAAAAAAAAAAACAAAAAAAAAAACAAACCATGAAAGTGTTGAGAGTGATTCCGGCTGAAAGCCCCGCAGTTCCTCTAGTAGGAGGGCACATTTTGCTCAGGTATGCTCAGGCATGAAACCCAAGCAAAAAATCACAGCCATCGCAGAATCATCACTAAATTTTGTTTTGCTTTTGTCATAGCCTGAATCCCAGGACAAACGACAAAACAATGCGTGCTGCTCTTCTCGGGTCAAGTTATTCTTGAGAGCAGGTGGGTCTCAGACTTCCCGAAAGGGCAATTTTGGTGGAAAAAAACCACACCTACTGACCTATAAAGAACAGCTTTTTAAAACCGTGAACGCATACCGCATCATGGCACAGTGACGAACTCTCTCTCTGCTCCTCCAACATCCCTGTACTTGGCAACAGGGCATTTCCAGGCCCTTCTCGGAGAAGCAACTACTTTTCCAAGGTGCTGCCTTGAAAGCTGGAGCCCTTACATTCTTTTGTTAGTGGATTAAGAAAATCACAGATTTAATCCCTTCAACCAAATGCTCTGTGGGTCCCATAGTTCAGCAAAGTAAAGGGGAGCAGCCCTTTGGTTCAATTCGCATCAGTCACCACATAACGCTATTTCCCCTATTTTTATTATCTTGAAAACGGCAAGGTCTCTGTTGATGGGTTTGACCTTGGAACAAAGTTCCAGTTCCACCCATTTCCCCCAAGTTTCAGGTGCATTCTGATTTCTTGTAACACTACTGGAAGGGGCTGGGGAGGTCGAGGTCAGGAAGACCCTGGTCAGCAGGAGTTAAGTGCGGTCTGCTCTCCCAAGACCCTCTTCTCTGCACCACAAAGCCCAGCACCACTCCTCAGCCAGCAAGCAGCTAAGCTTGTGGGGCTGGAAACTATATTCCTTTGAACAATCTTAGCAATTTGTGCCTGGAATTTGATGCAGTAGCTCTAAAATTAAATAAAGATCCTGTAGTGTTCTTCTAAGAAATATGGCGTGGCTCTATGACAAAACACATTTTTCAAGCTCTGACCTCTGGGAACCTCAACTAGCTTCATATTTCAGGCTGACATTGCTCACAGGCTACTGTCTAGTTGCCCAAGCAGAGCTGGTTATCCATATATTTTCCACCTCCTGATCAGCTTTTAGCAGAGGGAGGTGAGGGGAGTAAATAAAAAGAGGAGACGCTAATTTAAATGCACTTCCCCTCCTGAGTCCCTTGGGGAGAAGCCCTGGTAATTAACTCTAATGAGATTAAAGTAACTTGGAACTCTTCATGTTGCCAGCTCTGTAAAAGTAAATTTGTGATAACCAATGTGTGTGCATTAAATCAAAGTCAGTCCCTTTTCCTGTAATGCAGTGGCCCCCCATCCCCCAACTTCTTTCGCCTGGCCGAGGCTGGCGAGGGGTGGAGGCTACCGGCTTCTTACCCGCACTTTGCTCCATCACTTCTTTCTGACACATGTCTTGAACATTCACCGTGCAATTCACGATGAACTCGGGGGAGGAGCAGTCGTTGTTCAGCTGGAATTCTTCACACTGATAACACTGGATTTGCAGCGCAAAGCCTGTGGGGACAGACGCAGTGGGTTCACAACCAGCTCCCACCCCCCCATCCCGAGACTATACGGGAAACCGCGATCCTCCTCTGCCCCAGCCAGCCCGATCCCTGGGGTGCTTGGTCTCCACGTAAGGCGGCTGTGGCTGACGCCGGCAGGGGGCGGCGCGGATACCGAGGGTCCCGCAGGATACAGCTGAATTCTGGCTGCGACCCCTGGACCAATGCTCCCGAAACAAAGAGCCCGTCCTACCCCACACCTGGGCTCCCCCACCCCGGAAGTTGAAAGGACGGGTACACAAGCCCAGAGTGAAGTAGCTCCAGAGACATGCTTCAGCTCCAATCTACAGCAAAGGATTTGCGTAATTGTTAATTGGTTACAAATTACTTAATTACTATTTTGGCACCATTTGCGACTGTATTCGCAGACGCCTTTTCAGGTTTAATTTTTGTCGTCAGCGTTCCTGTGCTGTGGCTCCGAGGCTCCCTCGGTGTGGCTACGCGACCACCCAGGAACCCCGGAGGCAGTGCCGGACGCCAAGAGGGGCTGCGCAGCGAGTTCCCGGCCTTTCTTCGGGACAGTCCCCGCAGCATTAGGGGGAACCACAGCGTGTACAAGGGGCGTGCGTGTCTGTGTCTGTCGTGTGTATGTGTGTGTGTGTGTGTGTGCGCGCGCGCGCGCGTACCCCGAGCCGCGACACAACAACCATGTCTTCCTGGCTCTCAGGGCAACCGTTTGGCTAGGGTCCCCGGTCGGAGTCCCAGTTCTGCGGCTCTCGTTCGGGAGCCGTTCGCTTAACTGGGAAGAGTGAGACGTTTTCGCACCCCTCATCGCCCCTGTCTGCTCTGCTTGGATCTAGGAGCTCCAGTCTAGTCCTAACTCCCCCTGCTCCGACAGACAAGCGTCGGACCCCGCGCTTCTTCCCATTCTCCACGTCGGTTGCGCTCTAAGCGCAGCAACCCAGCTTCGGAGCGCCCCGGCCACAGGCTGCCCAGCGCGCAGCTCACCTGTCGGCGGCGCCACTCCCGCGGGTTGCTGGAGACGCCTGGTAACTTGCCGGGGTCAGAGGGCTTCATCGCCCCTTCTCCCTCGGAAAATCCCTGGCACCGCTCAGACCCTTCCTCCTCCCCAGCTCTGCTTCCTCTCCCGACCATCCAGCCCGAGCATCTGCAGTTCGAGTCCCGCAAATCCGCTTCTCCCGCCTCTCCTCCTGCAGCGCGGGACCTGGAGACTTTCCCATCTAGCGCCTCTGGGCACCAGCACCAGCCGCCGCCGCCAAACTCCTGCTGGGCAACCCCAGCGCAGCTCGGGCCCGGAGGTAGGTGCCCGGGGGGCGAAGGGGCAGGCGGGTAGATGGGGTGTGAGCGCCTGGCGGGGCTGCTGGCCTTTTCTTTTTCTTACCTTGAAACAAGAACAATCCGCAAAAAGTTGCTGCGATGCCGAGGACCCACATCCTCCCGGCGCCGCGTAGCCGGGAGAGGGCAGGCGCATCAGAGGCGGCGACCGCGGCGGAGGCTGTCGGGGCCGCAGCGGCTGTGGCTGCCGAGGCTGCTGGGGCCCGCGCTCCTGCCTCCGAGGCCACCGCCGCCGCCAAGAGGAGCCGCAGGTGCCGCCCGCGGCGCCAGCATCGCCCGGGCCCGGGCTCCCGGCTGCGGGTCGCCGCTCCTCCCGCTGGCGCTCCGGGGCAGAGCGCGGCGTCTCCGGAGTTGGCTGCTGAGACTGGAGGAACTACTGGCGAGCCGGAGCACCCAAAAAAAGTCTCGTCTCTTCTCCCCACCTCCCACTCCAGGCACCACGTGACAGCTGCCGAGTTGCGGTGGGGGTGGCGGGCGAGGAAGGCTGGGACCGTCTTTTCACGTCCCCACCCCCTTCCTATCGCCTTCCTCTCCCGCCTCCGCACGTCCCCAGGACAGGGACGCCAGGGGGAGAGGGAGAGTGTAGTTTCCCAAGGCTGGGAGGCTGGGGATTTGGAAAACGTGAGGAGGGCGCAGCAGGTGCCCCGGGGACTGGCCGGGCGCTGATTGCGGGACCAGCGAGGCGGGTCGAAAGACTGCGTGCTCTGCTGGGCCCTGCGCCCCCCGGGGCTGTCCACTCCGTTGGGGTTGCAGCGACTCTGGCAGTGGGAGCCCGGTGGCAGGGGCGGCTGGCTGGAGGGGGACGTGCTCCCGTGCGCCTGGCAAAGTTGCACACCTGCAAGCTCTCTGGGGTAGCCGATGCAGCTGCGCCCTTTTTATTTTTCCCTCAGAGAGGCCCCTCATTCATGTCGGGGCTTGGCTTCAGCTGCTGCAGGGTGGGCGGGGTGTGGTGAGGACCCTGCCCCGACCCGCGCGTTCGCCAGCCCCGGGCACTCCTTCCGCTGCCTGAGCGCACAGCTGGAGGGAGTAGTGACACCGCGAACGGTAGCCTAGCTTAGGACACGGCCGTTCCCGGGGACAACTGTCGCGAGTTCCCACCAGAAAGCAAATCGGGGTGAAGAAGGGAATTGCTCTCCTCTATCCCTTTTCTCCAAAAGCTCGGGCATCTTCATTCTGCTCGCCTTAAAGTCACGGGTTATTAGTACATATTCCCGTGTCCTCTCCTGTACCGCGCCTTCACAGCCCAGGGCGAAGCCTCAGGCTGCCCCGGTCCCCGCTTTTAAGCCCCCGCCCCATTCCCACCCCTCTCAGTCAAGCGACCCACCTCGAGTTCTCCCGGGACGCCAGTGTGCTAAGTTCGCCTTCCTTGGAGCCAAGCCTTGCAGCAGGTGGTGCGGGAGCCTCTGCGCCCCGGTCCTGGATCCCGCACGTTGCCAACCCTGTCCCCTCAGTCCCTGGGGAGAATCCCTCTGTGGAAATAGCTTCATAAGCTTTGCCTCTCTTCACCCTCCTGCGCTTGGGCCACCCCCTGGAGGAAGCTCTCTCAGGCCAGGTCGCTGATTATTTATTTCCCCATCTTGCCAGCAGAGCAGGTCTGGAAATGGGCTTAAATGACTTTCTTGTAATTCCTCTGCAGAGATCGTTCCGTATCTACCTCAGGCTCCTTCTCTCCCTTTGCCCCCCTCTTCCTTTCATTTCTAGTTGGTTAACCCCTTGGGGAGACTGAATGCTTTGACCATTACCCGCTTGTCTGCAGACTCTGATCTTAAAATTGCCTGAATTACTATCTCTGGAGTAGAGGGGCCAATTTATTTATTCCTTCCCAGAATTGATTATTGTAGCACATGTGAGATTCAAATAACTGGGCCAAAGGGTTCTTGAACAAGTTCTTTTAAGATTTCAGAGGGTGAAACTGTGATATGACTTTTATTCAGAAATGAAACAGAAGAATTTTTAGAGGTCTGAAAGACAATGACACTTTACATAATTTTCATTTAAGATAACAAAATTCAGTATAACAAATTGCACAAATTAACCAAATAACACTGATTATACAATGCTCTTTTAACAAATAAGTGTGTACTGAAGTAATCATATAGATCCTAAAAATATTTCTATTAAGCCTAGTTTACAAGCTCCTGTACAAAAGCAATTATAAATAGTTCACATCTAGAAAAAATACAAATAACCTTTAAAATAGAATTTGTCCTCACATATAAACAGACTTTGTAGAAAAAAAAGGATCTTAAAAAGTATGATTTTTTTTTGTAGCACCAACCATTCATTTCATTTTTTAAAAAGTGAAAGTTACAGATAAGAATTTGGTTTCATTTCTAGATTGCCCAGATTTTAATAGAGCAGGAAGATAAAAAAAATCAACAAATATGGTTAACAATCATAAAGAAGCACTAAGGAGAAGAGGATGTAAGGAAATGTTTGGAGGGAAAAACCTGCTGTTGAAAATAGAATTAGGTCACTTCTGATCCACTTCCCTTCACATCAGTGTCACCCTTTGAGTACCTGTTACATTTTTCAGTGGAAGCAGAATTACGCTTCCTACTGGAACTTGAATCTCTCTGGCAACAATTGTGAAATTGCACTGGTATTAATGTTCCTATCACTTTGATACTGTGAGTTGGAGATGACCAGGGGCCCTCTGGTTTTTGGCGGGGCCATTTTAGCTTTACAGGGTGTACCCACAAACAATTTGACTACTAGGACAGTGAAGTCAAAGGACACCTTAGCTGGAATTTTTAAAAAATATATTATCAACTTCTAACACTTAGTACGTCATTTCAAGAGCATGGCATGGATTCAATTTATTGCTGCCTTTTTTTTTTTTTTTGGCTACAAATATAATTTCTTTTCCAAAAATTTACAACTTCTGTACAAGTATTCAAAAAAAGTGCAAAATTAAGACTTCTGTATTGTGGGTGTGTTTACATTTTATCCTCGTGACACACAACAAATGGAGCCTATCTTTATTGCCCTGTCAGAGAAGGAAGCTCCCATGGGCTGCTTGCTGTGAATCTGACAATGCAGTCTCTGGTGTTGCCAGGCTTTATTGCTGCTGTCTCTATTCCCCTCCCCACACCCCCCTGTTGCTTAAGTGCTCCATTTTCAGCTCACTAAGAAAAAAAAAATAAAAAAAGGTCCTTTATACCTCATTCGAACCCTGACTTGCACAGGAAGAGAAGCTATCATATAAAGAATCACTCAGTGATTCCAAATTGTCTACCCCAGGCCTATCTGAGCTACTCAAAGATGCTTCATTTTTTTCTTTTTCTTTCTTTTGTCCTTCAACCTTGTTCAGAGAGTTCTTCTCTCTTTCTAACAAAATCATAGTTTTGATGTTATGTTTATTGAATGACTCCAGGGAAATTTTAGATAATCTATTCTCAGGATCTTCTTTTGTTTCTTCAACTTGTTTCAATTTCTGCAATAAAAAGACGAAAATATTAGAGACATATTTCTTGGGAAAATCAAGTTATTCTATCCAATATTCAATTATTGTCTGCATAACGTGCAATTTAAAGGGATGGAGAGAACCTACAAGTCTTTAACAACCTTCTAGTATAATTAAAGGTAATAATAAAGCCAATTTTAGGGATAAATCAAGACTGTAATCATTTTACTGAGATAAATAGGTCCCGATTTGCAAACTGGTAAAGTGCCACTTAATTTCATTTTAAATGGATCTGCTTGAAATTTGTTCAGGTAAAGTGCCTTATATGTCTTCATCAAAGTTTCAAACTCCTCTCTTTTCTTACTATTATTGGTTGTCTTGTTTCGAAATATGGATAGGGACTGAATTTCAGCCAGAAGTTGGGACTGTATAGGGAAAAAAAGGTATACAATCCCTTAAGTTGCCATGAAGTTTCAGTACCTGATAGACTTGTCAGAAGCACTGTCATCTGTTTTGTCCCTTTACAAGTCCTAAGATATTTGCAGACCTGATCTCCAGGTCTGTGGGTGTAGATTCCAGGAAGCCCAAGGGCCTAAGAAAACATAGTAACACTTCTGCCCATTAGTAATCTCTCCCCTCCAGGAGGTTCCAGCCAGACCAATTACCAGATGTCTCTAGGACTTTCTAGAACACGGCAGTCATAATTATTCAATTATTGTAGGTAAACTCTGTAAACCAATGCTTTTCCTTTCTTCTTTTCCTCTTTTGGGCAAAAATTCTATCCAAACACCAGGAGGAAGTAGGGACAGGAGCTTAGATGTAATAATAGCTACCATTTATTAAGCATCCATCATGTAAAACTCACTAAATATATTTTCTCTAGAAGCATTTTCACAGGGGACTTGCAAGTTACACATCCTCATTTTAAAGATGAAAACACGGCTCAAAGTGACAGAGTTATTTGCCCAAGGTCACTCAGCAAGTGACGGGAACAGTAAGTGAACAGGATTTGAATTCCAGGCTGGCTGCCTTCCATGCTCTTGTTCCTGCTAAACCGTGCTCTTATGTAATAAAAGACAAGATGTCTTTTTTTTTTTTTTTTATTTTGCCTCCCAAATATTCCATTTAAATAACTTGGCAGACCATCTCTATTGCTATTGTCCTAGGCTCAGGCAAATCCAATTCTCTTCCCCTACCCATCCCCCACATTGTTATGCTGGATGCACAAAGATAAAATGAAGAAACTGTGTTTTGATCCAGGGAACAACACGCGTAGTCAAAGCCTCTGATTCTCATATGCTAAATATTTAATAGAAAGAGAAAAGAAAAAGATATGGCAGTGGATGGCTTTGGTGTCCCAAAAGCAGACTGAGACACACTTTCTCTTTCCTTTATGGAAATGGCACAATTCTTTAGGAATATTTAAAAATCATCCTTGGAGTGGTGCTTATTTCATTCTACCATTAACTTAGAGGATCATTACTCACAGATTCATTTTCAACCTCAAATGGCTGCCTTGAAACCAGACACAAGCTAAGGAACAGATCTCTAGGTGCTTCCAGAAAAGTGGCTCCATAATTAAGACTAACACCATGAAAAAGCCCTTCATACCATGCCAATTTTTAGACTTAAAAAATTTTCATTTATTTATTTGAGAGAGAGAGAGAGCAAACCTGAGAAGCAGGGGCAGGGAGAGGGAAAGTGCATCTCCAGCACACTTCACGCTAGTTGTGAAGCCTGACTCAGGGCTGGATCTTACCACCCTGAGATCACAACCTGAGCCAAAACCAAGCGTCTGACATCAACCGACTGCACCACCCAGGCACTGCTCCTAGGCATTTTAAATAAAGAGTTATACACAGTACAATACTAAAAATACACAGGGAGCCAGAAATGTTTTGATGTACCAAATGCCGGTAAATAAAGGACTTTGACGGTAATTTTCTTCTCGCCTGAATATCTCTTCCCTCTTTCTTTATTCAAGAAGCATGAGCATTTTCGTCGCCTATTTCTGGTCACAAATGGATCTCA